CAAGCAAAGCTGCTGCCCAGCAGCAGTCCTGGCTGTGAGCTTCTGTTGGTTTGATCTGCCTGGCTGTACTCCAGCCTGCAGAGATGCAGTAACCTGTGGGCTCTCCCTGCTACCTGGAACTCTGGCTGCAGAGACCGCAGCCCAGAAAGGGCAACAGCAGCTCTTCCCCTTCAGCTGCCATGTGGAAGAGGACCCTGTGGTCCTGATACTCTCTCCATGGGCTCTGCTGCTGCTCTGAACCAGCCTCTGCATCTTTTTTAAATAAGCACTTGATCGAAATCATGATCTGAGAAGGTCTCCTAAACAGAGTGGGGTAGTTCAGCTGCTAGGAGTTCATCTCATGCATCTGCACTGCCCCAGTCTAAACTCTTCACATGCCTCTGGTCAGTGACTGGTTTACTCCCCATTAATGCTAAGAGTGCCTAGTGTCACTCTTGGTGCCATGGTGAAAATGTTTTCCTCCTAGCATGTAATTTCACTGAATTTATCTGTCACCTGGGAACCTTGGAACTACAGCTTGTCACGGTAAGGCAAAGGAGATGGTGTGCAATAGAAACAACTGCAGCAAAATTAATGTATTTTCCTATTAATAGGCTCTTAATAGATTGGGCATTATCTAGCAACAAATCTTAAGGTCATTGGTTCAGTATTTTATCTCTAATGCCATTTCAAGTGGCTTTAGATTCCTGATAGACTAAAGACCCTGAAGAAACAACATGCAGCAAGCTCGATACTGATAGAATCTGTTTTACTAGAAACCAGACAGGAAAAGCTCAGGTCTACGGAGTGCGCCAAACTGCTACCTTACTCACAAGCGTTCTGAAACCCTGGCAATTGCCAGGCTGGCATTAGCATCTTTGTCCATCAGCTCCCCGCAACCTGGTGTCCCCAGTAATGCTTCGGCAGGCTGTGGGAGAGCTCTGCAAGGTGAACACGCCCATCCACCTCATACGGTTCCACATCTGTGCGGTCAGGCTTCAGGCGGCCCGTCTGAATTAATTCTGAAAATGCCTGAAGTGAATAAAAACAAGAATCTGACATACAATATTCCACTCTGACTGCAGTGAAAGCTCTAGAAATCATAGAATCATCTGGTTGGAAGAGACCCGCAACATCATCGAGTCCAACCATTCACCTGCACTGTCAGGGTCCCTAAACCATGTTGCTCAACACCAAATCCACACGGTTTGTAAACGACTCCAGGGATGGGGACTCCACCACCTCCCTGGGCAGCCTGTTCCAATACTTTGCCACCCTCTCTGTAAAGAAATTCTTTCTGATATCTAACCTAAATTTCCCCTGGCGTAACTTGAGGCCATTCCCTCTCGTCCTGTCATTGCTAATGTGGGAGAAGAGACCGTTCCAATCCCTAACATCCTGTGTGATCCCTATCTCCCTACAACTTCCTTTCAGGTAATTGTAGACAGTGATAAGGTCCCCCCTGAGCCTCTTCTTCTTCAGACTAAACAGTCCCAGCTCCCTCAGCCGCTCCTCATAGGACAAGTTCTCTAAACCCTTCACTAGATAACACACAACAGGAGAGTACTTGATCATTTCAGTATGCTGATGTCCAGTGAGTCTCTTTACAGCATCGCTATATTATAATTATTTAAAACGAAACCAACCAGAGTAAATCAGTTGTCTTGTATACGAATTGCCGTAGTCTTTCCAATGATTGTAAAAACAAATTAGAACAAACAAACAAAAAACAACCCTTATAGAAAAGTTCAGAAGCAAATATTTACCATGCAGGTGGCTTCATCAAATTTGTTCCCCCAAATGTAAATACAGGAAAGCTTCATGTTTGTTTTCATTGCGTCTGAAAGAGCTACAAGTCCTTTGCCACTTATATTGTTGCTCACTACTGACAACCTAATAACAGAGAAATAGTTATGCAAATATATGCCAACCCAGAGAATTCCCATCTCTTAGTTAAAATGAAGAATTTAACTATGATTTATTTTATATTATTATATATTATATATATATTGAAACTTTATCTTTGTTATTAATAATGTAAGGGTTTATTCGTATCAAGTTCAGCCCTACTATAAAATCTTTTTCAGGTTGCTAAAGGCAGTTTGGACTATGGACTTGTCCTGTTTCTCAGGGCATTGCCATGACTTGTGCAGCCAGGTTGTTCACTGTTTAGTTCTTCAGTGTCGGCAACTTCCTGAGTGGTGGCCAGGTCTCATCTCTAGTCTGCTTTGAAGCCCCAGCCTTGGCACTTCTCCAGGCTAAGCTTTGATCTTTGTGGAGTGGCAGTTATTTTTATATTAGTGAACCTGGAAGGCTTTCAGAGGCACCTCGCAGCCGCCACCTCCTCAGTCTGCTACTTAAAACTAATGGCTTCAGGTAACACCTTTGATCAGCTTTTACATCCTGCCAGCGCACGGTTTAATGCAGGCTACAAAATACACCCTGATGGAGAGATTACAGTTCTTCTGGGTTCACCTGGAAGCTAACTTAGAGGATTTTCTTAAGTGTTGAAGATCAGAATCCACAAATATAGTGCCTTATCCCTGCGTGGAATGTGATTATCTTAAAATTCTGAAGACGTACAGCTCTTGCTTGTTTTCCCTGGTGCGCCACGAGGACCTTGCTTTAAAGATGCAAAAAGAACTAACGAGACCTAATTGCCTTCCCTCAGAATGGCCGTGAAAGCTGTGAATCACACGTAAGATGAACCACTACAAAGCTGATCTAAGCATCAACCCAAAAAACCCCGGAATAGAAAAGCAAGCATACATTAGGCCACACAGCAATGGATAAAAGATGGGAAAAAAGGAAGAACAAGGAAAAGGGGATAAAGTGAGTTATGAGCAGGCCTGGTGGTGTGGGAAGGTGAACACGAGGCCTCATTTTAGTAGAAAAGAGACAACTAAAATCTGTTGAAACTATTAAATTCACCTTTGGGAATGTAGGAAGATCTGACCTTTATGACAGTGCAATTCCGTTATCCTGCCATCAGAAGAATCCTGTACCTATCGCAGACACTTCCCAATGGCTCCTGGTGAAGCCACCACCACAGCCAGCTCCATAGCCAAGACCTCAGCAGGACCAGCCATGTCCAGAAGCTGCACGCCTGCCATGGGACTGAGTGGCATTTCTTGGCCTAGTGTTTTACTCCTAAATTTAGCTCACGTGAAGCTAGAGGGGACTTCATTCAGTTCCCCAAACACAGGCCTCCTGGGCCACCTGAAATGCATGAGAACGTCCTGCCTGTCTCCAGCTGCAGGGCTCCGACAGGGCCAGCACCCTGGGATGGCTCACAGCCCTTGGGGCATCTCACAGGGCATGAGATGCCTGTGCTTAGCAAATGAATCCCACCCAATCTGTCACTCACATTTTTTCCTGAGAAGGAAAAACAGACCAAAAAGTCCTGCCTTCTATTTTGATCAACACCAAAGCACACAGTTTTGATGTCAATTCAGCCACTGCAAAGGCCGAGTTTCTCATACTCTGAGTCGTTACACCTGCAGTCCCTGGGGAAGTTATGGAAATACTAACGCCTGAAGAGTGCTGTTGCACGAAGCCAAGGCTTCACTCAGGTAGATGGCTCCATCATCTTCTATTCGGTTTGTGTTAAGATCTAGGATTTCCAGGGTTTGATTCCGTTTTAGTAGTTCTCCCAGAAATTTTACACCGTCACGGGTTATTTTATTACTGAAAGAGAAATGCACACATTTTTTTAACAAGGTGCTAAGAAATGAGTTTCTAATGTTAGTCAGGTCTACGTCATGTAGTAACTCTTACCAGCCAAGATCAAGGTATCTCAGGCAGGAGTTTTCATACAATGCCTCACACAGTTGCTCTACACCAAAGTTTTTCATCTCGTGCTTGCGCAAGTGTAGTTCCACAAGGGAAGAGTTGTTTTTCAACATCAGAGCAATGTGAACTGTGGTCTCTTCCTAAAAACAGACACTGTTATTAAGCTGTACTTTAGGACAAGATGTGGCCTTGCTTCAGTAAAAGGGAGATGCACAACTAATGGCCAGATTTCGTTGTCAGTAGTGTCCTATTTTGTGTTTGTATTAAAAAGAGCCAGGAAACAATGTGTTATGATAATGCTGAAAATAAAAAAAAATAAAGGAAAAACCCAGAAAGATCTTTGCAGATTTCCAGTGCTGTATCATATCCCTGTGAATATCAGGAGCATCGTTTGAGTCACTATGTCTAATGAGTTTTCCTCTCAGTCATTGCTCTTAAAAAACTGAATGTTTGAGTCATTCACTAACATTAAAAGTATTCTGTCATGATGCTAAGCTATTGTTTCATAAACAAGATTGCTATGGGGAAAAAATGTTCTGTCACTGTAAGACAAAGTTTGTTTTGAAGTTGTCATGTTTAGTTAAGAAGTGAATATTCCACTCCGAGTCAAAAATAAGTCAAGAACTTGGAGGCCTCAGAAAAGGATAAATTGAAGGTGGTAACAGTGGCAAATAGTCTCTCGTAGATAACAGACCAGGCCCTTAGTGGCCTATATCTTCCATAGCAGTAGTTTAAATCGACTTCTAAGACTGGGTTTAGGCAAATCGAGCCCTGTTTTAGTAGAAAAGAAACAACTAAAATCTGTTGAAACTATTAAATTCACCTTTGGGAATGTAGGAAGATCTGACCTTTGTGACAGTTCAATTCAGTTATCCTGCCATCAGAAAAACCCTGTACCTATCACAGACACTTCCCAACTGCTCCTGGTAAAGCCACCACCGCAGCCAGCTCCATAGCCAGACCTCAGCAGGACCAGCCATGCCCAGAAGCTGCACGCTGCCAGCAAAAGGCCTGCAGCTCTGTGCCACACACATCCAGTGGCCTGTGGTGCTGCCTCCAGCAAACACCGCCTTGCGGATTCTCTTCTCAGCCTGGATTATTTTGGAGGGTTTGTGTCTTTGTTTTGGCTAAAAAACGCATCAGAGGTTTTACATTGATGAGGTTCATTCACTTGCTAAATTCATGCTTCGAGTTCACATAGTGAAACAACAGAACCACAGGGCACAGTGAACGTGGCATACTGTTGAAGCTGTGCCTTTCTTCCTTAGGCTGTGGGCTCTGGTGATTGCCCTTGTACCTCACTGCTCGGATGAACAGCAGCCTTTTGTTCTTCCCCTCCTTTCC